TTTACAACACTAACACTACTCATGTATGTGGCTTTGGCAAATCGAACAGGTAATTCGTAAAATTTCGGTTTTGCCCTCACAAATAAACATTTATTTGGCATTTATTGAAGTTTTTTCCTCTCTCCTCCTGAAAAACCCTTTTCCCCAAACCAGAAAGCTTCCTAGCCGCAGCCAGCCTCATCTCCTCTCTACTGCTCAAACCAAGGGGCCACGGCGCCGGCCGTCACCAGCCCGAGCTGCTCGTCCCATTATGAGCCGTCGCCCCCTCCCCGATGTAGAGCTTCGCCGCGCTCGCCGGTCGTCTATGGGTGGTGGAGCGGGTTCCGATTGGCGCCAAATTGGGTCGATCGACTGGTCCCGACCTTCTTCGGTGAGGGGGTCGGGATTGAGGTATCGTCCTTTTCTCCCTTTTTTCCGTTTCATGGTGGTGTTGGTTGGTGGGGGCTTGTGTCTCATGGTTTTGGGTTGTGGTCTCGGCCGATGGTTGGGAAGGGATCGTCGGTCGGGAGTTGGGGAGAAAGGAGCTGTCCTCTGGTGTTGGTCTAGAGGTTGCCGTTCGGGAGAGGGGTTTGGTTCGATTGCAGTTCCAATTAGCCGCTTGCTGGAGTTTTTGGTTCGGTTTCTCGAATTGGGTTTCTTTCCCTTGTGCGGACGTCTCTAGGTGTCGAGCCATGGATTGTCTGCCGGCGAGAGGAGGGTCTTATTCTAGTATTGTAGTATTGTAGTGGTTATGTTGTGTAGTGTTTTGGGTTGCCGTGTTGGCCTTTTGTTTTATTCTTCTGTGTAGAAGCTCGATTCTCCTGTATGGGACTGTTTCGATTCTCGCGTATGGGACTGTTTAGTTCGTCTGTTTGTGGGTGCCTTAGTATAGATCTCTAGGCTACCATTTGTGTATGCCTCCCTTACATTCAGCTGGATAGCTGTTTGGTTATTCTTAGTTGTATCTAGGTTTGTAATTATGTGTTTTTACTAATCTATCTATGGTTTTGAAAAAAAAAATAAAAATAAAAAAAATAAAAAAAATCCACGCGGGTCCCACCACACTATAAGTCTGCACAGACACACACTCAAAATATCAAATGCCCATTCAATCAATCTTTTATGTGGCAGTAAATCCTCCACGTGTGGGCTACAAAATCCCTCTCTACCGCCGCAGCGGCCAAGTTCTTCCTGGCGGGGCTGAGCACGGCGGCGAAGTCCTTTCCTGCCCGCGAAGCCAGGCTGCACAGCCGTGTCTGTCCGTGCGACGACTGCGAGCTGGCCCCCACCGCCGCAGCCATCTGCTCCGCCTACGACCGCGATGTCCACTCCGCAAGCACCCTCACCGGCCACTACGACCGCGTCCCGGTGGAGCCCTTCCACGGCGGCTCGGTGGAGATAATCAGGGGCGGAGCCAGCCTCAAATTTCACCGGGATCGACAATATTTTTTAGCGGGGTCATTAACCTAGTAAACAGTATTTGAACAGTATTTTATACTAAAATTTTGAAATCCATAGGGGTCAGCTGACCCCAGCCACAAGGTGTGGCTCCGCCACTGGAGATGATCCACGGGTACACACCCGATTCGTTGATCTCTGGCCCGCCGGCGGGGAACGGTGGCGATTTGAAGTCCGTGGAACTGCTATTCCACGGTTTCGATCAGTTCCTGGATGTCGATAGCTACCGGATCCCGTCCCGGCCGTACGGTGACGGCATCGTCCCGGTTCAAAAAAATTTCCGGCCGGCCGGCGTCCCCGTCCACGACCACTCGCCGGACAACCATTTCATGATCGATTTCACAGGATCCACCATCATCAGCAGCTACAGTGTAGCCCTTCCATATTTTTTTGTTGAGGGCTTTTGCGTAAGTTTTAGTCAACCTGTTTATACTTGTAGTCATCTCTTCTGTTTTCACAATTCACACTTTTGCAATTTGTTTCACAAATTCAAGGTAATGGACTCACAATAAAGCTCTTTGAAGAAA